TTGTCATATACCTGACATGGTACATGTAATAAAGCGTTGTTTTCCACAATTGGGAGGCCCTGTCGTCTGTGGCAGGCCGGCAGATGAGGCTCTCAACCGAGGTGCCAGAGAGGACGAACACCGTAGCTCTAAGGACCCGATTTGAGGGATGTTCGGCTGCGAAAAATGACGGTGGCAGGCGAGTTTGCAGATTAAGAGGAGCTCATCCTCTTGCGGTGAGATACGGCAAGTGCAAAACGATTGACGATTGATATGTTGGATCGTGGAATATCCTACGAAATACGTTTGTCGCATTTCAAAGATGGATGGAACTGCATGGGCGTTTCACTCGCAGAATAGGGAGAGTGAACTCACGACTGTACAGCACGTTCGGAAGCATACGAGAATACATGATGCAACACGGCAATGATCATCGCATTCTCTTCACCTGGAGCAAGGGCGGTTGCCAAAGTTAACTAAACCGTTCCCTGGGACAACAGCTTTACTAGACCAGTGTACCGTCTAAACGAGTCTCCGTCCGCCATACAGGACAATAATCCTACGAAGAGAACAAAATTTTACGCCAACGATTTGTCCGGATGCTCACCGATCGTCATCCACCGGGCAGTGTACACTGCAAGTCGTGAAGGGGTTTCTGTGCTACCTAGAAACCAGCAGGGGAGCGCCGTATCTTGCGAGATATGATTGGGAGCCTGACTCAGAGCTGGAAGGTAAAAGCAAGATTGAGGGGCTTCGGGCAGATCAAATGTTGTTAGACGTCAAAAGAGCAAGTAAACATCATGAAAATAGTAGATCTGTGGATTATATTTGAGAAGCTGTCCACGATCTCCAGCTAAAACCCATATGCAAGAAATGCTCGATTTGGCTTAGGACTTGATGCGCACATGCTGCATCTCCATGGTTGCTTAATTGAGCCACAAACAATCGCTGTGGTCTTGGACGATGCTAACTGCGGACTGTAGCTCGAGGCTGGTCGAGGAGCTCTGGTAAGCATGTGAAGTGGCCCGTGCGTTGCCAGCGGCTGCAAAACCTGCCATTGTGTAGCCACAGTCGACAATGCCTGGGCCGAAACGCTGCATCGTCTACTTATGCGTTTCCTGGGCACCAAAATGCATCCGTGCACAAGCTGACGATCTCAAACACCTCAGTGTTGTCGGACTACATGCTGAAGCCCTTCGACCAGTGCTCCGACACCATGCCATCCGTTGACGACAAAAAGCATCACTGCGCGTCTGCAAGAAGACCACGAAGTGGAAATCCAAAACCAAGGCATCTGCCCTGCACACCAGATCATCTGTCCGACAGCAAGCACACATCGTGGTTCTTCTACGTGCGCGAGACATGCATCAAGTGCAAGGAGGAACGACGACGTCGGGAGCAGACGGAGCGGAAGGAGAGAGACGAGAATGAGCAGTAGGCCCGCAATCAGGTGGCCGACATGTCCCTCAAGGACGACGCGAAGGAGGGGCATCAAAAGACGAAGCACCAAAAAGAGAGGAGCGACAAGAAGGAGAGCAGCACTTAGCAGTCCTGAGATGCATGCTTCAACTTTGAGTCCTTGGTAAGCAATGTGTTAGCTACCGACTGTTGTTCCTTCCCGGTAGATATCTGACAAGCAAGCTCATTTTAAGGGCGAAGCAATTGGCAGATGGTCGATTGTAGTTTATGCCGACCGCAGCGTCTTCGACAGGTCCTGATGCGTCGGATTGACTCGAAATGACAGCCATTTAGCGATAATCTTGAGGATCAGCGGTTCATGGCGGCAGACTCAAGTTCGAAGCTGTATGATCAACTCTCATACAGTTTCAATGCTATCAGAACTTTCTTTAGTCCGGTCGACCTCCTCCTCCTCATCGCTATCGAACCAATTTGTCGTGTCATGTCTTCGTGTCACATTACCGGCTTGTGGAAAGCTTGCTCTCATCGGCGAAACGATCGGTTCCGGGAGGATACCAGTAGCATCCAACATTAAGGGTCTCGGCCTCTTCTCGTGCATGTCCGAGGAGCGAAAGATCGGCCTAAAGAGCGCTTCCTGCTCTCCGCCTCTGCCTGCCATCCATATCGGAAGAGCTCATACCAGCCAACGAACACTGACCAACGAATCTTGATCAGGAACGTGATGATACCAATGAACTAATTGTCTATCAGCTTGAGGAGATTGGGAGCTTGGATGAAGATACTGACTGCAGCCATGAAATAGCTTGATACTGTCATTTTCTCGTTCAGTCCCAACACCTCGGCATACTTCAAGCATTTGTCCTTGTTTCCAATATTGAACACCAGACATGCAGCCCACTGCTCTAGTTGAAGAAGATTAGCCGTAGTCTGTGAGTCTTGCGCGGCCTTGACCGATGCCACGTAAACTGTCCCGAAATATACCATATCGATGATCACAAAGAAGCTAAGCACGATGCTTCGCCACTGCAATCCGATCGCTTTTCGCATTCTATTCCAGGCGAGGCTCTTCGACAGTACCACAGAAGGCTTCCGTTGGCCCTCTTCACTCCGTCCAGCAGTACCCCGATCGCTAACACCGACGCTTTCATGATGCCAGAAGTGACGTGCATATAGCCAGAGGCAGAAGCCTGTTGTGCAGAGCTGGATGATAGCCGCCAGACCGGCAAATGCAAGAAGCCATGCGAACCAGGTAACGAAAGAGTATTGCTCGTTGGGTATGCAGGTACGGCCGATGCGGTAGGAGAGGCGGCTCACGGGGACTGCAATAGCAAGGAAGACTGCTGGGACACCCCAGCCAAAGAATTGGGATATCCAGACATATGCAGGAATATGTGTGAAGCTGAGGCATACTCTCATGAATATCCAGATTGATCGCAATAGGACTGGCCAACTATCAGCATAGGACGCGTGCGGAAGATGTCCATGCCTTACTCCAGATGCAACTAGCCATGGCTCCATATTCCAAGAATGCGCCAGTCCAGGCACAGGTCAGGTCCGTATACATGTCGGCCGGTGTAATAGCATCATAGCACATGTGCGGTTCAGCACCAAGCGGCACAATGAACGCCAACTGCGAAGTTGTCAAACACTGCTGCTTGATAGTATACCAGTATAACCAGCTCTACGCACCTCAAGTATGGCCAATGATATACACAACCCGACCGCCAGATAATGCCCATGACTCTTTCCCTTTGGTAGGACTGCAAAGCTCAGCAAGAGGAAGACCTGGCATGCCAACGCCGGGACATTGAACCAGTACGCTATACGCATGTTTCGCTCGAAATTGTTCGAGAAGACCCATCGTTGCGTTGGACAGGGCAGGCAACATGATAGATCGTCGGAGACTTTACTGCAGACGCGGCCAGGGCGATTGCCTTTGGTGTACGGACATGCGCTTTCGTCGAGGAACGGTGCTGGACAGAAGGAGATGTTGAAGCCAAGGGACATTTTCCACGACTAGCAACGTCATGAACGTGAAGAGTGAAGCGTTCTGGGTTTTGTGTAGAATGGTTCTCTGAAAACATCAGAAATGCGTCTAGCATTGTGCTGGTGATTCCAATCAGCAGTCGCCGCGCCGCACCCGTGGAATGCGTGGTTACACATCATGTTCGGTAATGCAAGCACGCAGTACGACTACAATAGTAAGGCAGTCATGTTTGCCAGTGTCAGCTATTCTACCCAAATGTTGAAGTTTACAGATTGGGCTTTGTCGAAAGATTTATTCCAGACCTACAGCTCTACATATTCCTGCCGCCAGTCACAGACAGGGTCTGTCCACTGACGTAGCTGAAGAGAGGGCTACAAACCGCCAGAATTGCGCTCGCGGCCTCAGTGGCGGTTCCAGGCCTTCCAAGTGGAATGTCTTTGAATGCCGATGCACCAGCTTCCCTGGCCGCCTTCTGCGCCTGTGGAATACCAAGAGCGACTTTCTCGTCGTCCGGCGTCGTGACGAATGCGCCCTCCTCCTTGGCCGCAGTCAAACGCGTAGCAATGAAGCCGAATGCTACAGTGTTGGCCCGTGCACCGAATGCTGGGCCCCACTCCTTTGCAATGGTCTTGGTCAGGCCGACGAGACCTGCCTTTGCGAGAGCGTAGTTGGCCTGGCCGGCGTTTCCGTGCAGACCAGAAGTGGAAGAGATGTTGACAATGTTCCTTGGCTCACCGTCTTTGACACGGAAGTATGGAGCTGCTTCGCGGACAAGCTTGAATGGTGCGGTGTTGTGGAGGGCGAGGATGGTATCCCATTGCTTGTCGGTTGTCTGTCATCCCTTAGCACGTGCCTCACCTCAATCAACAATGCACTGCCTACCTTGTGGATGACCCCGTCCCATGTAAATCCTGCGTTGTTGACAATGATGTGAATCTTTCCGTTACCAAACTCTGCCGACTTCTTTACAAGCTCCTTGATATACTGATCACTCAGGACATCACCAGCGATAGCAATCGCTGAAGCACCTGACTTGTTGATCTCTTCTGCGGTGTTCTTTGCCTTGGCTGATTACCGTGATCATCAGCTTCTGGCTCCTGCATTGCTTCTTTCCTCTGGCTTGCCATTGCTCACCGGCATCAATGTCCGACACGACAACCTTTGCTCCCTCGTTAGCAAAAAGTCGTGCAGCCTCCGCGCCGATCCCCTGAGCGGCTCCCGTGATGATCGCTACTTGGCCAGCAAGCATGCCCTTTGGGTAGTTGAGGTGACCTGCGATCTGCTCCACTCGTTTGCTCGCCATAGCCGCTACTCCTTGGTGTGTTATTCGGATAATCAATAGCACTGATGACAGTAAAAGTCTCAACAACAAAAATTGCAAAACTTACCATACACTGCTTGCCTACAAGTTGTGCTTATATTAGGATGCAGACAGTCCCCTACGCGTAGCCGAGGAGTGAAATGCGGATGTGAGATACGATGCCGAGGATCAGCGCGCTGTTACACTTCGGTCACGTGATAGCTGAACGAGCGGAGATTACAGAAATCACGAAGGAAGCAAAAATGTGAAGCAAGCTGTTACATCGTAACGCCTGGTTCCAATCAAAGACGGCGACGACACCGATGGGACTCGAACTGTTGCACCCCGTTAACAATGGAGCCAATTGATGAACCTGTTAGGTAGTGTGCACATACCCCACAATCTTTGCCATGCTTCTCAGCCGGAAAGCAACGCCTTACCATTAGGCCACGGTGCCAAGACTTCATCTGAGGTGAAGGTGGGCAGGTAGGGCTGCACAAAGTGGTGGGACTATTTTCAAAACTATATTCTACTCAATCATCAAGCAAAGCGGTAAGAGATACTTGGAAAAGTTGAGCCATCACCGCTCGTTCATACACCCAGATGATTGACCGGTCGTGGTGTATACCGCGATTTCTTGCAGACGGCTCACTCTGGTCATTCTAATCATCAGACGTTCAACCCTGTTCGGCTTGGTTGCGATTCACGGCGGTATTCGCCTAAGTGTTCCGGCGATAGGGAGAAGCGGCGTTGCGAGTACCCTACGGTAAGAATCGGGAAGCGGCCAAAATTACCACTGGTTGAATTGCTTGCCACGACTCATCAAATGGTTGACTATATTGTTCAATGCAGTAGTCATTCAAAGTGCGGCTGGGAGCATGCCTGATTGTGGACATTAGGTATCGCGCATGGCCCAGGCCGTATCAACTATTGACTAGAGCACGCAAAGCACGATGGCCAAGCTGATCGAGGAGAAATTACCCGATCCATCGATGCAGCCTCCGCCTCGTCCTGTAGTATCTCATGATCGTACCTAGAAGCCGGCGATGCCGACATCTGGGCGTCACGATGCACAGAAAGCAAGATTATAGCGGGCGCCTGATCGTGATGTCGCACCCAAGCTAGAAGAACTCTGCTGCCAAATGGGCATGATGACAACTCCGTGCTCGACGAGCTGACGCATGTAACTCCAAGCAAAAAATGCAGCTTGCCAAAGGCTGGTTCCGGTGACACCATGAAAGCCTAGAACAGGCAGCAAAGTAATTTTTAATTACAGACAGACAGCATCTGCGCCGTGGGTGTGAGCTGTCGCCAGAAATTGAGAGGCACATGGTTCGTTGGCCAAGAAGGGGGTCTGTCAGTTGGCTCACGAAGTCCGTTGCTCCGCCTCGCCTTGGAGTCTGCGCCGGATTGGGAAAAGCCCCCAAGCACTTCGCTTTCGCCTGACGCACATGGGTCATCAGAGTTCTCACACACCCTTCTTTCTCTTCCGCGGCCTCCATCCTCACGCTCGCGGCCTTCTGCCACGGCACAACCACGTTGCTCTGCTGCTCCTTCCCTTCGCATACGCGGGGAGTCGAGTCTTTGCGCGTGCCATTCCCCCACGGAAAGCATCGCAGATTGCATCCTTGCGCTGGGCAACGCGGAGTACGGTTCGGCCTCCCTATTCTTTCGCCCGCTGGTCAGTGCTCAACCCAAGGCTTACGAACTCGTGGTCCTTCGTCCGCGCTCTTCGTCGACCTTCTGGCATCAGACGGCTACACACTTCATTCACTGCCAGGCAGCAGTGGATTCTGTCTGTTGTTTGCGTCTGCACGAACGAGGCCCAGCAGTCTGGCAGCGGCGCGGGCACTTCCGTCTTCGACCGAAGCACAGCCTCTGCAAACTCGACCACCTGCATTCCTACGGTCTCCATCGACTGTCGCCTCCGTCGCCCGCGCAGTCAACAACACGCACGGCCGAGCGCACTCGCCGACACCACGCCACCGACAAGCTTGAGCCCGGCGACGACGTGGCTACAACCTAGGATCACCAACCTGCCCGAGTCTTCACTCGCGTTACTACGACTCAAATACCTCGGACGCTTTCACTAGCCAGTCCAACTAGAAATCGACACACAGCATCACTTGCGCGCAGCTCACTTTGTCGCACACAGCAAAGTGAATCTTGACGGCTACGCTTCACGACCGACAAATTCAAGGCACGGCATCTGAAACCTCAAGTGTAGATCGATTTCGCACCGACAAACCACGCGCAGAACATCTTCACATATCGCGCAACAAGATCACATCAAAAAGCCAGACAATACCTGCTGCATGGTCGGAACGCCGTAGACACAGCACCTCTTCAACGGAGGTTCTGTCCCGTGCGCTGGAGAGCAAGGAGCGGTCAGTGACGCGTGGAAGTTTCCACTTGCTGCTCTCACAGTCACTGACACACGCGTAGGAGTTGTGTAAAACCACTCCAATCCTGCTCTGGTCTTGCTCGTTCATACAAGCATGCCGTCTTTCTACTCATCCCGGCCTCTGAGTCAGCTCCCACTCACGCCGCCAGACTCGACAGGCTACGGCTACAGCAACATGCACTACGCTCAGGATCCATATGCGCAGCATCAGCAGAACCTCAACCAGGGAACTCGCCACAATGCGACTTACGATTACCAGGGCTATATGCAGCCGCCAGTCGCGCCAGCACCACCATCGTACTCATTCCAGCAAGGCGCGTACCAACACCCAAACACGCTGCCGCCGATGCAGAGCTACTACGAGCCAGTCGGCGCGCCGATTCTGCCACCACTCAGGATCAACGAGCACGCATCTATTACTGATGACTACCAGCGACGCTTGGAGCAGGAGCAGCAAGCACGTGAGCAGCAGCAGCGGCAAGCAGCAAAGGAGGAGAAAGCGACTGGCGGTGTGTCTGCCAAGCTGGACTACGACATGGAGAGGATGACAGATTTTGTCACCGGTGCTACTGAGAGAATGTATGCCCTCCATTGCAATCCCCACATATATGTGGCAGATGTTGACGTGCCTCGAAGCTTTGCCCACGAGATGCAGAGTCGGCCATCCTTCCGCAAATGGGTGCTCCAAGTGCTCTCTGCGACACGATTGCCATCTGCCACCATCCTGCTGAGTCTGCACTATCTCAATGATCGTGTTGCACGTCACCCAGAGACTGTCTCCACTAGCGAGAACCAGATCTACCGCCTCTTGGCAGTATCCCTGATTCTTGGCAGCAAGTTTCTGGACGACAACACCTTCATCAACAGATCATGGTCAGATGTCACGGCGATCAAGGTTGCAGAGCTTAATCAGCTTGAGCGCGACTGGCTACGTCTCATCAGCTACAACTTGCACGTGGACGCCAGCGACCCGAACGGTCTACGCGCATGGTTAGGTGGCTGGGAGGATTATCAACAGCAGATTGCCGAAGAGTTGGCGAGGCAAGAAGCGCAACGGCTGGAGGCGCTGGCGAAGCAGGAGCAGCAACAGCGCCTCCGTCTGTCGCCGATCAACACGAATGTCAGTCGCCACTCGAGTCACCGCGACAGATTCTCGCCCTATCCGACGCCGTACACCTCTTCGGCAACTCGGTCCACGTATGAGCATACGCCAGCCCGCAACTCTGCGTACAACAACACATCGTACAGTGCGGCCGATCCATGGAGCTCGAGCGACCGACACGCCTTTGAAGACTTCTACAAGCGTCAACAGCGGTACCCTACGCTGGCCGAGATTGACGACGTCAACCGCCGAGCATCTGAGGAGCGCGCTCGCCAGTCTGCCTACGCATACTCGCAAGATACTCAGTCAGGCTACTACCAGCAACCGACGTACATTTCCGCATGGGAGCAGCCTGCATGGACTGCGTCGCATCGCTACGACTGCGCTTGCTCCGGCTGCATGTACCAAAACCACTATCGGCCATACTCGATGTCTTCAGGCTATGCCGCGCAGACAGTCATGGGCTAGATGGCCCCCTCGCTGCTGGTTGCGCGCATCATTTCGCGCCAATCGGGCATCACTGACGACCCGAATGTACGCCAAGAGGCGTTGGATGCTGCACTCAATGGCGAAAGCGCTTCAACTCCCTGTGCACATGAGCTTATTTACATCAGACCTGGAACTTCCTTTTTTTCACGACTACAACAGACCGACCAGGACCTCATGACGACTTTGATGATCACCGCAAGCTTCGGTGACGCTCTGCGAATATCATCATCCTACGACTGAGGCGCATGGCGAGCAGACTTCTTGCGATAGATTGGGGACGCTTGCTTCATTCCATCATCGGGCGTGGCCACGGCCTTCGCCTACGAAATTTCCTTCATTTTCATACGGTACATTCTTGGGTTGCACACAACCAACGGGAAATATGGGTACGCGGAATTGATATCATCTTTTAGTGATTGCTGCTGTTTAGCAAGGCGTTATTGAAAAACCGGGGTTTATTGGGCAGACGGGAAAACGCCAGAGAATATCCTTTTAGCGAATAAAAGCTGCTGAAAAAAGCATGGGCGTTTGCTTCGACGGGGAGAAAAGGAAGTGGAGGCATTGATGAGCTTGCTTCTTTTCCACTATCAGCTTCTTCAGTAAAGAAGAGATGTGTTAAAACCACCTTTTGGGCGCACGCATGGTTTGCGACGGGAAGTTTACGGGCATGAAGATGGCGATGGATTGTCGCACATTCGCTTAGCAGTGGACTGGCCTCGGTTGAGTGAGCCTGGTCATGAAGGCTGGCGTTGGGCTTTAGACAGAGGTAGCGAACATTTTGTAATGAATATGCCTGTGGGACCTGAGGTTATGGGTACCCTGACTTGGTCCTTGGCTCTGTTTTCGAATATAGTGTCCTCGATGCGTTTCGTGAGAGATGTGTCCACTGTGCGGACGCTTGAGAGGTACTAGTAGGTGCGCGTCACACAGAGCTACCTCCTAAGTCAAATCGGGAAGGCACGAAGCAAGGGCGAGCTTTGCCGTGAATCCAGCACAACCATGTTTGCAAGTACCTCGTTGCGCTTCGGACGTCCTTCCGAGGTGGATGGATGGTCAGTATCGTGACATCTGGAAGGAATGAATGCGAAACAGTTCTAGCCTTAGGCATCAGTCACGTGCATTCCGCGACTTCTGCCTCTGCGGTCGTGCCTTCCGCAGCTGCTCCAACGCGCGCATCGCGTTCATCAAAAGCCGAAGCGCAACGAGTGAACAGCAGCGGGAACCCCACGGCGCACGCCAGCAAGAATAATGCCTTTCCAGTAAGTAACACATGCGCATTACGCCCCTGAGGTACGAGCTAATTATGATCGCAGAAAAGGAAACAAGGTACGGTGGTTGCGAACACTGCATTACAACATGCGACCAGACCCCCCGATTTACCACTGATACCAAAATAGTTTGGCGGCAGACGGTCGCGAGGAGGAGCTGTCGCGAAGCCGAGGTCTCCGACACCAAAGATTGA